CCGTGCGCGCCTGAAAAGGGCGCGAAGCAACAGAAACCCCGCCTCCTGCGCTCGCCAGCTGAGCTCTGCTCTAGGAAGCAGGCTCTGGCAAACCACTTCCGAAACAATTGCCTTGAAAACTGCAAGGACTCATCCAAGCAGTCACTGCAGGGTCAGCAATGACTGAGCACAGACAAAAAGAAAAAAAGAGTCACTGCAGGGTCAGCAATGACTGAGCACAGACAAAAAGAAAAAAAGATTGAAAACTGCAAGGACTCATCCAAGCAGTCACTGCAGGGTCAGCAATGACTGAGCACAGACAAAAAGAAAAAAAGAAAAAGAAAAAGAAAAAAAAAGAAAATAAGTGTGTAAAATGTGAACTTTGAAACTCTTATTTCTATCACACTATTTTTTTCTTTCCCTTTAACATAGATAAAAAGGTAGATATACAGTTCACTGTTTTCTAAAAAAGAAATGACCACAGAAGTTTTGAAACAGTAGCTTTAAGCTCTTTGTTTCTCATGCTGTAGATTAATGGATTAAGCATGGGTGGAATTATTGAATACATTATTGTAATTACAAAATCAAGGTCTGAAGGGCTGTTGGAAGTGGGCCTTACGTAAGCAAAGCAACCAGTAAAGAAATATACAGAGAAAACAATGAGGTGAGGTAGGCAAGTGGAGAAGGACTTCTTCCTCCCTTGACCAGAAGGAATTCTCAGAACAGCTAAGAAGATCTTCACATAGGTAACAACAATGAAGAGAAAACATCCAAATCCTAATGTAATACTGAACATTTGAACTCCAAGTTCAGTTATGTATGAATCAGAGCAGGCAATGTTAAGTAAATGTGGGATTTCACAGTAGAACTGATTGATAATATTAGAGCAGAAAGGAATAGTAAAAGTGAAAATAGTGTGTAATGCAGCATTAAGAAAACTAGCAATCCACATGCTTTCAACCATTATGGAGCAAGCATTCCTGTTCATTATCACTTCATATTGCAAAGGACTGCAAATGGCAACAAACCGATCATAGGCCATGACAGTCAGGAGGGCAACTTCAGAGCTTAGGAAGAAAACAAACAAGAGGACTTGAGCAACACACCCTGAATAAGAAATATGCCTTGTATTCATAAGGCAGTTAAAAACAGCTTTGGGGATAATAACTGAAACTGAGCCAATGTCCTGCATGGCTAAGTTCATCAGGAAGAAGTACATGGGAGTGTGCAGGTGGTGATCAAAAACAACAGCAATGATGATGAGAAGGTTCCCTGTTACCATCATTAAATACAGTATCAGTAATAAAGTTACATAGATAACCTGTAGCTCCCAAATCTTTGAGAATTCCAAGAGAAGAAACTCAGTTGTGTGATTATCCATTCTTAATCATGAAATATGGCATCCCTAGAAGAAAAAACATGGTAGTTAAATATTTTCTGTTTAGTGAGTTTGGAAAGATATGAGTAGTTACTGTTCAATCTTCAGTAAAGTTCCATTAAATCTTTTGGTGAAGAAAAGTGAAACAGACTGATCTTTTTATCAAGACAGATTGCTGGGTATTCCATAATATCAATATTACACTGTTATAGCTGTCAGCAATCCCTTTCTCTTCATCATTTCTAATGTTTTTCTTCAAAAAACAGAGCACAAAGAATTGTACAAGTTCCAAGAATAAAAAGGAGAAGAGATATTGGAAACTTCATTCCTCTGGAGGATGATTATGTTTAAATTTCTTATGGTTTGAACATACTGGAATTCAGTCATCATGAGATACTTACACCCTCTAGGTGTATGTCACGGTGTTATCTCTTATAGCACTAGAAAGATCCTTTTCTTTTTTGGATTAGCGACATAAAATGCATTTGGCAAATGCTGATGGAGCTCATGATTTAGCATGATTTATTTTGTTTTGTTTTGTTTCTGAAAACAGAAATGACAACACTAAATGACACTTTAACACTGTGGAAGTCTCCAAATAAAGCACCAGGAAACCCTCCAAATAACAATTACTTCTTAGTCCTATTGTGAGAAATGTAGAAATGAAATTCTGAAGACCTGCTTCAAATCAGAACCTACTTCAGCTGCTTATCACTGTAAAAAAAAATCTTCAGAGATCCATATAAAAAAAGTTCTAATCTGATTTAGACCATCATCTGAACTAGCTGTTGAGTCAATTAGATTGAAATTAAATAAGATGTCTGAATTGGGCCACATCCATTGATCAGAATAAGGTTGAATGAAAACATGTTGCGTCTTCTAATAATAGAGGTTAAGCTCAGTCTTTAAATTTAGTACATCATGTCTGCTACGCTAATTAGAAACAAGGTGGGGGGAAAGGTAATGCTTAATACTTTATTTTTAGAATATTCTAATGTCCAATGAAGTTCTACTTACATTCATTTCATATCCAAAATAAAACAGCTTGAAAAATGATGATTATAAAAGGCCTTAATATTTCCAATCTGTTTTAACTAGCATTATAACTAGAAGGGAAAAGGTTGGAAAGCCTAGGTTGAATATTTGCAAGGGAAAAGGGAGAAATAACTACAATTCAAAGTCAGAGAATTACTCACCATCTTTATCCATGCAAATTTCTTAGTATTTTTTTTCCCTTAATCTTTTCTTCTGTGCAACCATTGTTTAGATTGTATGCTGTGGAGCCATGAATGAGATCTTTGCAATTTCTCTAATCTTTCCCCTCAAATATAATAAGAGTTGATCTCCATTGGCCGTATAATAAAGCTTTGGTGGGTTAGAGGTTTTCTGTGCTCCGTGGGAGAATGCCCAAGGGTCTGTATTATTTTAAGTGAAGAATTCTACAGGGGAAAATGCTGATGTTCTGATTTTACAAACCTTATTTTGGAGGTGGGTGGTTAAGTATCATTACTGTTGTTGAATACTCAAGAAGATGTTGTTGTGATGTGCACAGTATTATTATTTAATAGATGCTTACACAGAATATTGTACAGATGTTCTTAGATGATGCTATGAGGCACTATTCCGAGTCGACTATGATATGAGCAATCCTTTGAGATTTATCAATCCTTTTTAGCTATGCTTGTTTTAAGATTCTTAAAAAGAGGTTCATAATGTGTATTACATATTTTAGATAGGCGGGAGCTGCAATGGGCAGCTGATCAAGAAATGTCATTGGCACTATTTCAATGAAGTTAAAAAAAAGACTTACAGAACAACTTTCATGTTTCCTGTCTTCGGTTAGCTGGCGTAAAAGTGGTGCTTGGAACTTCTTGTGTCCTTCAGATCTCACATTCCTTTGACTTCAGCATTTCTCACTCTTCAGAGAATATAGGGCTGCAGTGTTACTTTCCTTCAATAATACTAAAACAAACATGCAAAACACTTTCAAGAATCAGCTGATGTTCTCAAACATCATACTGAGATGTGAGGGAGGCAAATGGTATGGTAGGCTGCTGTGGGACCTGCCAGGTGGAACTTCATCCCTCTGGAGATCAGATTGGCACCAACTCTGCTGGTTGTTCACAGGACCCTGAAGACATGGTTTTGCCAATGGGCATTGGGCATGAGAGGGTTTTGGAGCCAGTGCAGTTGCTGTACTGATTGTTTTGATGAATGGGATTATGGGCTGTGAGGGCTTTTTTTTTTTTCCCCATTGTATTTTATGGTGGTTTATATACATATGCTTTATATAAACACACCATTATGTGTTTTTTCCTTGTTTTCTAATTGTTGAATTTTGAAAGTTGTTTTTATATTTCTTTTTATTGTTTTTAAGTGACCCACGGTCAGATATATGAGATGGACAGCTATATAAATTTGAATAATAAATAAATACAAATAAATAAATAAACTCCAACTTACATTCTATATCAGCAAAGATCAGGGAAAGTCAGTTAAAAGTGATGTAAACAATGGTATTATAGTCCCATATGAGTTGCTAAAATTATTGAGAGAGGCCCATATAAATATTGGAAGTATGGTGAAGCAAAAGGTACCTATATTCATGTATGGTGGCCCAATCAGCTTGTAGAAATATTTTGTAATAATATACAGAAATATGCAATTCTAATACAATCTGAAGATATGAGATTCAGAGAAGGCATAAATTTAATAAAATGCAAAATTTGATTAAATGAATACCTATATATCACAATGCGGAAGCATCAAAATGCCACTAGTTACTTCTTATTGTGAAATAATGGGATGGAAATGGTGGGACAGAATATTTAGCAACAGGACTGTTTCTTTTTTGTATTGTATTGTATTCTTTTGTATTGTACTGTTCAAATTGTTGGAAAGCATACTCGATAGATAAAGCATGGGCAGGGTCA